CGGGTCGGCAAACGTCGTTTCTCACGTTCTCCCAGAGAAACCTTAGCTGCGGGGCGGAATCCCAGCTCCGCGCGGCGCCCCGCGGGTCCCCTGCGCCCACTCGCGAGCTGTGGGACCGGGTGGGTGGGGGAGCTCGGCGTTGGGGGCGCTGCACCGTCCCGAGGAGAGAGGCACCCGCGCCCCGGAGCTCCTGTGACGTCTTGGGGGCCAGGGTGTTTTCTAACCTTTAGGACAGTTCGGAGCAGAGCTGTCCCCAGGAGGGGCGTGGGTCGAGGGGGGTTTTAAAGAGCTTCGCCCTCGCTGCGTGTCCCCTGAGAACGCGTTTGCTGTGCTCTCCCATTCATCCCCGGATTCAATCTTTTCTCTTCCCAGCAGGTGTTATCTGAAGCCACTTTGGAACTTTTGGGAGTTTAGTTTCTATTATGACTTTAACAAATGAATTTCGATCAAGCGATGTCTCCAATGAACTAGGCTTTGGGACCTTCTGGACCCCGCTGAGAGCTGGCGCAGGCGGGATGGGCTGGCCTCGGGCAGTGCCGCGCTGAGACCGGCCCTTTTCTCCCCTGTGCCCTGCAGATAGCAGCTGCTTTGCCTGTGGCTGTAGGATGTGGTGAAAGGATGGGGCTTCTCCCTCCAGAGGCTCACAATGGCCAGAGAGGATTCCGTGAAGTGTTTGCGTTGCTTGCTCTACGCTCTCAATCTGCTCTTTTGGGTGAGTCAAACAGTTCCACTGCCCCAACAGGTGGGGACGGCTGGACCCGGTTTCTGCAGCCACCAGATAATGCGCCAAAGGGCATGCCTCAGCATTAATTAATTACATCGACTCACACCCACACCCTCCATTTGTCAGAGAAGTAAAATTCGACCTTCTTAAAATGTCTTTGATCAAGATCAAGTTCCATTTGTAATTAGAAAAAGATCCACGTCTGGATAGTAGTGTCAGCAAAATTAGACCTGGAGTTAATCTAGGGATATAAATAAATGCACGTGCTCGCATTGGTAGATAAGAAAATTATGACATACCACTTAGGGAACCGCTTGTTTGCAGGAATTTTAGATAACTGTTCAAACCGTAAATATTGTCCTTACATCACCCAAGCCTATAAAAATTGATTGGGGCAAGCAGTCTTAATATGGTTCTGTAGGAATTCATACTTAGCTATCTTATCAAAAGACTGAATAGATTCTTCTGGGGCATTCCATACAGTTCGAAAGGTGATTTCCATGTGTGTCCCAGTTGGCAAAGTTTAAGGAATTTTGCATATGCTTTTGGAAAATCTCATAACTATCTAAGGAAATAAATTATATAAAATTTTTATGCCCTATGAGTTGGTGACTTTTTGTGCTTTGTACTCATCCATAATTTTCATACAGTATTATTAATAATCACATTATCATTTATAAAGCTAAGGGAATATAAAACTACAACTTTGAAATTTGTTTCAGGGGGCTGTCACACTTACGCAGGGGTTTTTTTGCTGTTTTTAAAAATGTTTAGTCAATAATTTACATTCAAAATTTCCTGCTAATAATTATAATATTCAGTTACTTTATTTGACTGTCTGCGGTTGACCAGCCTTTTTTCACAAGGCTGTTATACTGGACCTCTGGAGAATGACATTTTGGTTAAACTGCTTCTTATGAATGGTATCTGTCAAGGCGACAAATTAAGTCTTAGTTCAGTGAGTAATCTGAACAATATCTAAATGGCAACTTCATTTTTTTTTCAACATGAAAATTAAACCATCCAATAGTCAAATTCTCTATTTGGAAATGTAAGTGATCTTTTCATAGTTTTTAAATTACTGCTTATGAAGATTTTGACTTGCTTTCTTTTAGAAATATGTAATTATTATTGTTTTTGCTAGTTTTTCACTTGTCTGCATGATGTTTTTTTAATTATAGAATCATCACATCCTATCACTAAAAGGAACTTTAAAGATGGCCTGGTTGAACTTCCTTTCTTTGTGAATGAGGAAATTAAGAGCAAGTTAAATGACTTGCCAAAGGTCAAATATTCTAATGGGGGTGGTGCCAGGAACAGAACTCAACTTTCTTACATTTAGATCATGCTTTTAATATGTAGCTTTGTTCACTTTTGAACCTTGACACTACTAAGATTTCTTTGTTCTTCAGTAAAAAAGTGAAGCTTTGGAAAATTTCTTAACAATTTGTATTGTGCTAAGGGAAAAAATCCTCCAAATCATTTAATGAAGCTATTTCTCTTCTGAAAAATTAAATCTTTTAAAACCACCTGCTACTTAAATTCTTCCAGGGCTCCCCTTGTGTCCCTAGAGAAAGAAATAATGTTGTTATTTGATTGGTATCCTGCACTTCAACTTTCTAACTTTGCCTGTTTGCGTTCTGTTTGTTGCTTTATTTGGATGGCTTCCCTCTTTCCACAGCCCTCTCCTTCCAGTGTCACCTCTCCAACAGAGGAATCTAGGTTTGCCACTGATATGCTCCTTCTATATTTTAACTCCCTTCATGTGCAGTAAATTTACCCGTACCTGTTCATATGGACCCTAACCTCCACACATTTTTCTTTTTGCTAAACTGTTTCCTCAGTTGGGTTAGTCTTAGGAGTGGAATTGCCATGTCAAAAGATATGTAAAGATAGCAATAATAAAAACAGAACAATAGCTAAGATATATAAATAACTAACAAAAACTAGCTAATAAACAATTATTACTGTGTTTGCCAGGCACATTCCTAAGTCCTTAAAATAGATATAAGTCCTACTTTTCAGAGCTATTGTGAAAATTAGAAATTATGTATGTAAAGTACGTACAACTGTGCTATCAATGTAGTAGTAGTCTGTAGTTTTTATTCCTATAACATCGATATTGCTCAAATAGATTACCAGGAGGTAGGTTGCTACTCCTATTAGAACCTTTGCTCTAATAATAGTAGCAATTATTATTGTTATGATTAGCAATGCTGCTACTTTAACTGCTATTACAGTTCATTTGATCTAACAACCTTGTCCCGGAAACTTAACCCTTAGTAATAAAAGCACAATTATGTGTACAAAAATATTTGTTACAGTGTTTTTTGTTTTTTGTTTTGTTTTTTTTGGTGTGATGGTACATTTTAATTTTTGCCAGTCTGGAAAGCTTAAAGTGTTATCTCACTGTTACTTTATTTGATATTACCCACAGTACCACTGAGCATTAGCTACACACTGTATATACAATATTTCATTTCATATTTTATATTCATTAACTATTTCAGTTACCATTTAGGTTTTCCCTATTGGTTGTTGGTTTAATTTATGTTCTTTGCTGCTATACAATAGTTATTTGGGGTTTTCTTTCTTCTGAAACAGGGTCTTGCTATGTACTTGAGCATGGCCTTGAATTCACTGTATAACCCAGGCTGCCCTCAAACACTTGGCAATCCTCCTGACTCAGCCTCCCAAGTGCTGGAATTATAGGTATGCGCCACCATGTCCAGCCTAATTATAATTTTACATGTTCTTTTTAAATATAATTTTTTATAGAATTGTATATGTTCTTTTATATTTTACATTTACATTTCTTATCTTGGATAAAGTTTCTTTTTTCATATAGACTTTAATATTTTTTCTAATTAAAAGTATCTACTGTAGTTTTTATTGGAATTGTATGAATATTCATACTAACTTTGGGAAAACTAGCACTGTTTTTCAAGGCTAGAGCACTGTATTCTACTTTATTACCAAGTAAGAAGCAATTTTTAGCCTTCTGTTGGGCATATTCCTGAGCATCTTTACATTTCTCTCTCATCTAATTTTCCTAACAACCCTGTAAAATAATTTTCTTTCTTGTTCCTCTTTCCTTAGGTAAAGAAACCAGTACTCAGAGAAGTTTAGTAACTTGCTAGTAAGTAGCAGAATAGGAATTCAAAGTCCAGTTTTGTTTTTTCATCCAAGGGTAGTCGAAGTTATATTGCTGGGAATCTTGGGGAATGTGTTTGGAGAAGCCAAGTAAACATCTTTAGTAGGAGGGATTAGCTGTCCACCTGCTCACTCTAAGTCCTCCAGAGGCAGCTTCTCAGTCCGTGTGCCCGCGGTCACCTGTGCATCCTGCTGAAATGCAGAGTGGGGTTTAGTGCGTCACCATGGAAGAGTCAGCATTTTTTTCAGTGTTGTAAGTGGAACCCAGGGCCCCATGCAAGCGAGGCAAGCGAGGCAAGCGAGGCAGGATCTCTGCCACTGAGCTACATTCGCGGCCCTCAGCATCTTAAGCCAGCTGCTCCGTAATGTTGATGATTTTGGTCTAAACTGTGCGCACCCCCCCCAAAAAAAAACAAAAACAGGAACAAGACTTTAGTATCTGCTTTTAACTCTCTCTGGAACCAGACTTCACATCTTGGATTTTGGACAGACTAGTCTTCTCCACAGTGCGCAAGATTGATGGAGCTGCCCTTGTCACTCATGGGTTCAAAAGCTGGTGCATTTTACTCTTCACGCTGCATTTAAAAAAACAAATTCCTGTGTGTATCTGTGATATTGATACCCACTTCTTTTCTCCACCCCACTGGGATTTTACAGAATAAATCCCAATTGGGAAAATATTGACAACTCATACAAGTTTGCTTTGCTTTCTGGGAGTTGAAAATCAAATTGAATGCTTTTTTTTCTTTTTGAGTAAAAAAGTGCATCTTAAGTATAAGTGGGAGGCATTGACATGTTTAAGAGGGCGCAATCCAAAGCACATTCAAGATCCCAGATTCTCTGCATTATCCACGGGGCTGCGGATGTGCCACCGTGATCTGCCACCTGTCGAGTGTCTCTGCAGTGTTACGGTGAAGGACGGCCCTGGTGCGGTTGAGCTCCAGCAGCAGGCGTACACACTTTCTTTTTCTTTTCTTTTCTTTCTTTTTCTTTTTTGAGACAAGGTCTCACGACGTGTGGTGGTACAGGCTGGCCTTACACTCACAGTGATCATCTTGCCTCAGCCTCCTGAGTGCTGGGATCACAGGCCTGCACCGCTGCAGTTAGCTTCCGGGAGCTCTTTTGCAACCATGTGTCATTAACGGAGCAACGATGTGGGGTCATCACTGCTTCAGATTTACTACACTTTTACTATTTCTATGGCTTTTTAGTTAAGCAATGAAAGCTTTTCTGTAGTTTAAGGATGACTTCTGTAGCTTTATCAGTGTTTATTATTCTTGACTGTTAATATTCTGCTATTGTAAATAGAAATAAAATGGTTATCTTTGGAAACTTCTGAAACTGACATCAAATGCATGTTCGTTTATAAGTTTCTGAAAGTTTGATGCCTTGTCTGTAGTGTTTAATTCCCATTTCTAATTACCGTATAACTCACTTTTTAAAAATTACCATTCTTAAAGATACTAGCAACAGAGAGGATCTACCCTGATTACATAGGAAAGGAAACTTATAAACCCTTAAAAAGCAGGAATCTAGCTCATGTGTGAGGTAGATGAAACAAGAGATGCAGTGTCCCTTGCAGACTCTGAAAAGTCACATTGTTGGCAATCAAAAAGTTTTCATTGAACGGGCATTTGTGTAGTCGTTCTAAGATATTTTTTAAGTTTATGCCCCAACTTTATTCTATGAATTGCATTCACATCTTCTTAACTCTAAGGAATAGTGCAGAGCCCTATAATAAATATTTGTGCTCTGAAAATAAACTTTCACCATGAGAAATTCCTTTACTTGCAGAGCAAAGATCCTATATATGTATTCAGCTAAACAAAGACTTG